TACCTCCACCTCCATGGGCCTCTGAGGGCACCTGCGCTCAGGTGAACACAAACATGTACACACACAGGGTTTGGAGAAATGTGTCAGTGGCTAAGGGCACTGGCTACTCTTCCAGAAGCCACTTTCCTTAAGGCTGGGTCTCACTGTGAAGAACTCAGCTGTCCTTGAAATCATAAAGATCCTCCCACATGCTGGGATTAAAGTATGTGCCACCATGCCTGACCTCACAACTTTTTAAAAATGTATACAGTGTTCTGCCTGCATGTATGCCTGCAGGTTAGAAGCAGGTACCAGATCTCATTATAGATGGTTGAAAGCCACCATGTGGTTGTTGGGAATTGAACTCAGGACCTCTGGAAGAGCGGCACTTCTGCACTCTCTCTCCAGCCCACTGACTTCACTACTGATTCTTTTTTCCTGATATGTAACTGATAGTGAATCTTTTTCTCCATTTGCTAAATAGTTTGTTTTGGCATTATTTTGAATGGGGTATTTCTCCTAATTTTTTTTTTTTTCCATTTCAGCTTGATAGTTTTTGCTGTATATATTTTTAAATTGCCGTATTACGGTCTAGAATTATAACATCCTGTTGGATTAATCTTTTTGTAATTATGAAATCTACTTTAAACCTGTTGTGACAGATACTACTACCTAAGATTTGTCTATGGGAAACAACACATATACAAGTTTCTGCTTTTTCTTCAAGACGGGTTCTCTGTGTAGTTCTGGCTGTCCTGGAACTTGCTCTGTAGACCCAGCTGGCCTCAAACTCAAGAGATCCACCTGCTTCTGCCTCCTGAGTGCTGGGGTTAAAGGTGTGCGTCACCAATGCCTAGCAAGAGTGTCTACTTTTAATGAGCATGAAATATTTTATCTTTTAATTCCATTGCTTAGCCTATTTGAATATTATTCAGTCTCCGAGACTCTTTTTCTCTAATCTGGGAGACTCTTCTGGGATCTAGTTGTATGTAGTCAGTCACTTCAGCAAAATGATTGCTTTTGTCCCTTAGAGACTATCTCACTTCATAGTGCACACACAAGGCGGCCTCCAGTTCCCTTTACACGTATGTCACCACATCTGGAAGAGGAGTTTGAAACTTGTCTTCAACTTGTTCATTTTAGTATTTTCACATGCTCAGTCTTCCAGGTCCCTTTTCTTCACTGTATTATTTGATGTTTGGCTTTCTATTCCTATTTCTTCAGATGGGAGTCTCACTATTTAACTTAGGCTGGCCTTAAACTTCTGATCTTTTCACCTCAGCCTCCCAAGTGCAGAGTACAGGCATGTGCCACTGATGCTGAATTCATCTTTTAGGCTTTTAAAGTGTTTGTGTGTTGCTTGGCAACAAGTATATTGGTTCTCTCCTTTTACATGGGTTCTAGGAATTGAATTTAGGTAGCCAGGCCCATTTTATATATATGTGTGTGTGTGTGTGTGTATGTATATACATATATATACGTGTATATATATGTATGTATATACATATATATACATATATATATACATGTTCTGAGGTTGAACTCAGGTCCTCCAGCTTGTACTTTAGCAGATGAGCTGTCTTCCTACCCCGGCCTCAGACTTTTGACCATAATCTTGCCTTAGTCTCCTGAGTACTAGGATTCCAGGTGTGCACAGCAAGAACACTGCAGTGCTTTTTCCTTTTTGCATATTCAGGAGTGTGAACCTGGGTCTCATGCATTGAGATAAGCACGGCAGGCAGAGGCATGTAGCTTTTGGAGTTTGAGGCCGGCCTTGTCTTTATAATGAGCTCCAAACCAGACAGGGCCACATAGTGAGACCCTGTTTGAAAATAAGTAAATTTATTTATTCATTCATTTATTCATATAGTTTTGCCTGTACCACGTTGTGCCTAGAGCCCAGGAAGGTCAAAAGTTCCCCTGGAACTGGAGTTACAGAAGCTGTGAACTGCTACATGGGTGACAGGACTTGAACCTGGGTCCTCTGGAATAGAGTACCCAGTACTTTTAACCACTGAGCCATCTCTCTGTCACTGCCAGCCACCCTCTTGAGCTTTCCTCTTCATTCTTCATGTACTCAGTTGTCTATGGAAGAATAATCATGGATTAATTAAACATTAAGACACCATATTACGTGTCCACATATATGCGTGTATAGGTTAAACTCAGAAAGTGCTCTGGGGCTGTTGCTTGGTTTTATTTTTCAGGCAGGGTTTCTCTGTGTAGCCCTGAGACAGGGTCTGGCCTGGAACTCACTATATAGACCAGGCTGACTTTGAACTTGAAGAGAGCCACCTGACTCTGAGTACACTGTTTTGAGGGGTGTAGTCTTATTGCTGTCCCTGGTGTTGTGCCTAGCATGTCTGAGAAGGCAAGCTGGCCTTAGCAAGCTAGCAGAGGTCAGTGCCATTGCCAGGCCTGGGGAATGGGGGAGGGTATTGAGGCCCTCCCCTTCTTCCATGGCATTTGTAGCACAAGTTGGGTCACACCTGTCATCTTACAGGACACATTTGACATCCGGATCCTGATGGCCAAATCTGTCAAATATACAGTGAACTTCTTAGAAGCCAAAGAAGGCGATTTGCACAGGTACACTTCATCCCCTGGGCACCCATGGCCACTGCTGCCCACCCCACAAGCTGCCTTACCCCTCCCCCCTCTCCTCACATCATGCACATCATCCCCTGGGTACTAATGACCAGCTGCTGTTCCCCGGCTATCCCTCCCCCTCTCCTCACAGTCAGGTTGGGCTTCTACAGCAAGCTCATGCCCTTTGCCTTGCAGGATAGAAATCCCATTCAAATTCCACATGCTGCATTCAGGGCTGGTCCATGGCTTGGCCTTCTGGTTTGATGTTGCTTTCATTGGCTCCATGTAAGTATGGCACTGCTGGGGCTCCTCATAATTCCTCAGGTGGTTCTTCCCATCCGAAACCCAGGGAGAACCATGGAGGAGGGGTTTGGGTGTCATTTGCTCAGCAGCTACCCTTGAGTGCCTGTCCGTTCTGTGTGTTTGTCTCAGTACAAGGTGTCAGGGTGAGTAGGCACCTTATGGCCATGGGTTGGCTGTGCACATAGGGGCCTGCGCCTGCCTAGAGTCCAGCCAGTCTTAGCCATGAGACCCCAGAGGACCATTCAGGGAAGGCCCTTGGGTTGATGGCAAGGTATGTGGGTTAGTGGTACAAATGGTGATGCCAACCCAGTGAAGTGCACCCATTTCTTCTTGACAGAATGACTGTGTGGCTATCCACAGCTCCAACAGAGCCTCTGACCCACTGGTACCAGGTCCGGTGCCTCTTCCAGTCACCGCTGTTTGCCAAGGCCGGGGACACGCTCTCAGGGACATGTCTGCTTATTGCCAACAAAAGGTGCACTCTGCCAACCCATCCAGGGCTGGACAGGGCAGTGGCACAGGGTCCCCCAGCCCACCTGCCTCACAACCAATCTCTCTATTCCCCCAGACAGAGCTATGACATCAGTATTGTGGCCCAGGTGGACCAGACAGGCTCCAAATCCAGTAACCTGCTGGATCTAAAGAACCCCTTCTTCAGGTAGCAGGGTTCTAATTGGGGGAGGGGACCAGGAGCCCCACAGTCCTGCCCACAGTGAATCTCTGCCATAGATACACAGGCACCACCCCATCACCCCCGCCTGGCTCACATTATACATCTCCATCGGAGAATATGTGGAACACAGGAAGCACCTACAATCTCAGCAGTGGGGTGGCTGTGGCCGGTGAGTCTGAATGCCATTTCCAGACATGGCTGGAGACCCTTGGTGGCAACGTGGACCCCAGATCCCCAGAGCTTGCTCAATCCTGACACCCACTTTCTGGTTAGGAATGCCTACTGCCTACGACCTGAGCAGTGTTATTGCCGGCGGCTCTAGTGTGGGTCACAACAACCTGATTCCCTTAGGTGAGTGTCCCCTGGGGTCTATGGCATGGCAGGGGAGGATTGGGATGTGCCAGTGGCCAGTTCAATAGCCGGTGCTTGGTCCTCTGCCACCACTGTCGCTGTCATGGTCACCTCTTCCTCTTCCTGGGAACTCTAGCCCTGTGTGACTCTCCACCTTGATCTATCACCACTCTATCTGCCCTTCCCACACCAACCATGAAAGTGGAGTGGGCCAGGCAGGCTGGGGGCGGTGACATCTCCCTCCCTCCTTCTTTCCTCCCTGTCGCTGCGCAGCAAACACAGGGATTGTCAATCACACCCACTCCCGGATGGGCTCCATAATGAGCACGGGCATTGTCCAAGGTAACAGGGTAGCGGGGCGTGGGCGGGGGTCCTCCCGCCTGGCCTGTGCACATGCTCAAGCTACCAGTGGGGGCCAGGCAGGCTCAGGAGTCATGCTGGTTCCTCAGTGCCCATGACCTGCCCCACAGGCTCCTCAGGCGCCCAGGGAGGCGGCGGTGGCTCCAGTGCCCACTATGCAGTCAACAACCAATTCACCATGGGTGGCCCTGCCATCTCCATGGCCTCGCCCATGTCCATCCCGACCAACACCATGCACTATGGGAGTTAGGTGCCTCCAGCCGCGGTACCACTGCGCACTGACAGCACCAGGAAACCAAATGAAGTCCACGCCCGGCACAGCCGGTGGCTGTCCCCCTTGTTCTGAAGAAGCGTGAACACCCGGTCACAGCCCTCTTTGCTATGGGAACTTGGACACTTTTGTACACGATGTCGCCGCTGCCCTCAAGTACTCCTAGCCCACCCTCTGGCCCCGAGCGTGTGTCGCTGCCATATTTACATGAGATCCTGTCGGGGCAGCCCTCATCCTGTTCTGTCCTCTCCACTCTGACCTGGCTTTGACATCTGCTGGAAGAGGCAAGTCCTCCACCCCCACCCCCACAGCTGCACCTGACCAGGCAGGAGGCCAGCAGCTGCCAGCACAGACCTGGCAGCACCCACCCCTCAACCCGTCCTTGAGCCTGCCCCCTCAACTGGGGTGGCAGCACAGCCAGCTGGACCTCTCCTTCAACTACCAGGCCACATGGTCACCATGGGCGTGACATGCTGCTTTTTTTAATTTTATTTTTTTACGAAAAGAACCAGTGTCAACCCACAGACCCTCTGAGAAACCCGGCTGGCCGGGCCCAGCCAGCAGCCCCTGTCCCTAGGCCCAGAGGTTCTAGGTGAGGGGTGGCCCTGCCGAGCCTTCAGGGTGGGCATAGGTCCCTCCCACCAAAGGGTTCACCTCACACTTGAATGTACAAACCACCCAGCTGTCCAAAGGCCTAGCCCCTGCTTTCTGCTACTGCCCTGCCTTGAGCCCTGAAGGTCGCCCTCCACCAAAAGCTGGAACAGGCAGCCCAGAGAGGCAGGCACCACAGCCACTGGGGCAGACAGAAACCTCAAAGATCTGTCACAGAAAGGCCTCCTCTCTCTCCCTGATAGCTAACATAGGCCTGTGTGTTCCCCTCCACATTCATGCTCCACCTCCTCCTCCTCCCAAGACAGTATCCCTGGGAAGGGGCCTAGCAGGGACCTCTCACTCCAGACAAAAAGAAAAACAAGGAAGAGAGGATGATTAAGCACAGGCAGTTTGTCCCCAGTTCCCTTGCCCTAGAGTCCACACCTCAGTGGCCAGAGCTCAGGCTGGGCCTATGCCCACCACAGGTACCCCTGGCAATGGCTGGAGCTGCTCTGTGCTACCCTCCTGACCTGTCAGGGAAATAGAGGGCCCACAGGCGGCTGGGAAACCGGGCTCTCTCCTGTCCATCAGTAACACTCCCTGCTCGGCTGCCCCTCCCCACCTTTATATAAATTCTCTGGATCACCTTTGCATAGAAAATAAAAAAGTGTTTGCTTTGTAAGAAAATCTTGCAAATAGTAGGGTGGTCTACAGGGTCCAGGAATCCTCCAGTCTTCATAGGGAGGGCAGAACGGGTAGTATCCCCTTGGGTTTGGCCTGAAAAAGAGAGACTCCTAGGAAATGGCCCCAGGAGGAAGAGGGTACACCTTCAGCAGGAACAAAAACTGGTCCCTCACCTGTGGGCCTGGCCTTCCTAGAAGGTTGTCATGGACCGGGCCGGGGTAGACAGCAGAACACTGGAAGACAGAGGTGTGGCTTGGGATGCTGGCACCACATGGTCCAGAAGAGGCAGCGGCTGGAAGAAGTACAGCTGCAAAGAGAGCTCAGGGTGAACACGCAGTTCAGTGGGGCAAGCCTCACTCCACAGCCCTGCTGAGGACTGCCTGAACCCTACCTTACAGCCTAGAGCCAAGAGGGTGTGAAGCAGCACCACAATTGACAGCAGTGCCGCAGCCACCAGCTTTGTGTCCTCTCTGACAATAGGCCACAGTGTGAACACAAGTCCAGCAGTTGACAGGGCTAGGGCCAGTGCTCCAAAGAGCCACTGCAGCCACTGCACTGGGATAAGCCACAGGACCTAGGGTGACAAGTATAGCTGGTGATGATACAGGGTGGGCCATGCAGCTCCCACCAGCCCCCAGGGCAAAGCCACACTCACCACAGTGGGGATGAAGACAAAGAGTGAGTAGCCATAGACACAAACAGTCTCCAGGAAGGAGTACAGCCCCATGCGCTCCCTCATGCCCTGGCGCCACCGGAGGAAGCCCCACAGTGCCAGCGGCACTAGCCATGCGTAGCAGTAGATGGCGATCCCTGCTGCTGTCACTAGGGACGCAACGTGGCCAGGTTATTGCAGGCCTTGGGCCTTGGGAGCCGGGGACTGAGCCCGCATGCCCTGCTTACCCCTGTGGAACTGAGGGCTGTAGTGGATGGAGGGATCCCGTCTTTGTGCAAGCACCAATGTGAGGTTGCCAGTAACCGCCAGGACAAAGGCCAGAGTAGCACAGATCCAGAAGGGGCCTGCAAAGGGGAACGTGGAGTCCCAGGCCCACTGCTCCTGAGAAAGGTCTCTAAGTAACTGTATCAAGTGTGGTAAAACCCCAGACCCCATTTGACTCTCTAGGTCATGGCTGACAAGGGCTGCTTCTGGGTTCATCCTGTCTTTCTGGTATCTTCCGAAATGCCTCAAGTACTTGGCTTTTTTCTCTTCTCTGACAAAGTTCTCTATAGGTATAAGAATCAGCATGGTGCTGCTCCACTATGGGAAGGATCTTGTCCAGACCTGAGGCTTCGTGCATGCCACCTTTCGCTGCCCACTCCCAGATTGCTCCAGAGCCCTGAATTGCATGCTTATGTTTTAAACTTCCTGTGGCTGGCCTCTACACTCTTACCTGCTCCTTGCACCTGCCCAGCTCTTCCTGTCTGTCCATGGTCACACTCTTTGGTGGACTGGGTGGAAAGCTACCCTGGCCTTCCCCATTCCTCTAGGCTGTGGGATGTACCCTAGAACTTCACTCTAAACCCAGCCTCCACTGTAATATCTGTCCCCTGCCTGCTCTTGCTGGCCTCTACCCTCACTTTCCAGTGTCACAGGAGATCCTAAAAGTACTTCAGTGTGGGACCTGTGTACTTATCCCCTACCCATGACCTCCCAGCTGTTCCTTCCACTCCAAAACCTATGGTACCATGGGGCTAAGAAGCTTTCTGGATCCTTTTCTAAGCCTTTCTCCCAATACCAATACCAACGTAACTCATTTGCCTACCCTACTCAGGGACCTTCCTGACTTCCCTCTCACCCTCCAAGTTAGCCATACCTACCACCTTCTGCTTCCTGCCTTGATGAAGAGTTAAACACAAGGTATACTCTTCATGAGTGACTGCCTGGTCAGGACCTGGCACAGTCCCATGTTGAGTGAATACTCCTTAGTCAAACATACAGCCTCATTTACCATATAGGTCAGGCCGGTTTCTAAGATGGTGTCGCACAAAGTTGTGGCCAGGGTGGGGCAGCAGCGAGCCTTTGATCCGGTCTAAGACCTGGAGAGCAGAGGCAGGGTCCAAAATGAGAATCCTGGCATTCTGAAAGGCATCACTTCTTGTAGACTATCTTACCACCACATCCTACCTGAACAAGCTCAACTGTCCGGCATAGGCTGTCCATGGGTTATGGCTTGTGGTCTTTGCCCTGAGCTCCTGCTGACTCTGTACCACTCTGAAGGTGGCTGAAGGTAGGCTCTCAGGCCTGCCACCTTTCTCTCAACTTTGTAGCCTCTCCTCCCATTCAAATTAAGGACAGTCCATAAGTTCTGCATGGTCTCCCCCCTACATCTCCAGAGAGTGCGCTTTTCAGGGAACCCGGCTTATTATCAGAGGCTGGCCTGTGTTCCGCATGCATTTCTGCTCATTCCTCCTCTAAAGTCTTCCATGACTCTCTGTCTTCTCAGGCCAAGTCCCAGACTTCAGAGGCTGCATCATTAGCAGAGCTTGCATCTAGGCCTAGTGATGCCAGTTGTGGCCCTAGCTACACAGAAGGTTGAGCAAGAGGATCACTCTAAGCCTACAAGTTAAAGGCCTGCCTGGGAAACATACTGACTTTAGGACAGACACACACCCATACCTATCTACTTGTAACCTTTTAGCACCATCCCACCCACTCCAGATTCAGTGCCCCACAAATAGTGGCTGAACCCCAAGCAACTCCAAAGTCCCAGGGCTCACCTGGGAGGTATCCACATCAAAAAAGCTCTGATAGTAGTCAAATGTCCAGAATCTAGGCTCTGGCTTTTCTTCCTGTAGAAGCTACAAGGCACAGACTTTCAGACCTTGCCTGCCCAGCCAGGGCAAGGCCAGAGGCAGGGTATGAGGGCCTAGGAGACTCACCAGTGTCTTGTCACCTTCCTCCACCTCTTCAGCTCCATAGCCAATACTTGATCCCACAACCACAGCCACGTGCTCCCGTGAGGTCAACTCATCACTTTGGCTCGTGGTGGCTGCATCTGGGGTCTCGGCCAGAAGATTTGTGGCTTCCTCGAACTCTTAAGGAGGGGGAATGTGGGCACAGGTGTTTGGAGTTTAAAAATTACTTTTGCCCCACTACTCATCAGCTGGGGCTGTGGTTGCCTCACAGCCCCCTAAGAGCTGGTTTCCTCAGTTTTGATGTATGGGGAGGTCTGTTCGTGTACTAAGATGGGGTTCATTCTGGGTCCTGAGCACACCCTAAGCCCTGATGTGCCTCTGAGTTCAAGGTGGAAGCAGGACTGAGTGCGGGATAAACCTCAGTTTTGGACCTGAGTTCTGGATCCCAGCTGCCCCGAGGTTCTGGCCTTAGGGCAGGAGTGGGAGCTCAGACCACTTCCAGGCCCCACTCACCGTGGAAGGCCAAATCGTCAGCCGCTGCCATGATTCTTTAGAGGCGTCACCGCATCGCGCTCTGTGGACAGACCCGAATCAGTCCCACAGCTCTCCCCAAGACAGAAGCTTGCGTCTAGATTCCTGCCTGGAGCCTAACACACGGAGTGAGTCTTCAACCTCCAAGCCAGGGCCCTGCAGATGCACCCTAGCCCTCCTCACCAGCTACCTAAGCTGGCGTGGCTGGTCCTCCGTGCGCGTGCGCACCGCCCGCCTACCCGTCAGAGTCCACCCTTCTCTACGCAACGGCAACATCCGGCTCTAGTCCTTCTCCAATTGTCTTCCACGGAGAAACACTTCCGGTGTCTTCTGGCCCTTTTCATTCCGACGCTACTCATTTCCACTCGGTCAAGGGACCGCAGGAAGAGGATGGCGACGGCGGCTCTTAAGAGATTCTGGTCCCGAGGACGCAGTGAAGCCGGAGGAGACGCGGGTGGTACGGCGACGGTCGCGGCAAAGCCAGGGGTGTGGGCGCGACTGGGTGAGTAGTGGCAGAAGGCGGCAGGGTGGGTGACCCGAGTGTCTGCATCATTGTCACCGCCGCGCTTCTTTCCCCGCAGGCACCTGGGCCCGCGCGCTGCTTCGGGATTACGCCGAGGCGTGCGGGGACGCGGCTGCTGCGGCGCGAGCGCGACCGGGCCGCGCGGCTGTGTACGTGGGGCTGCTGGGCGGCGCGGCTGCGTGCTGCGCGCTGGCGCCCAGCGAGGGCGCCTTCGAGGAGGCCTTGCTCGACGCGTCGGGGTCTCTGTTGCTGCTGGCGCCGGCCACGCGCAACCGCCACTCTGAAGCGTTCTTGCAGCGCTTGCTGTGGCTGAGGGGCCGCGGGCGGCTGCGCCACGTGAACCTGGGGTTCTGCTCGCTAGTTTATGAGGCGCCCTTCGACGCCCAGGCCAGCCTCTACCAGGCCCGCTGCCGCTACCTACAGCCACGCTGGGTCGACTTCCCCGGCCGGGTCCTCGATGTGGGTTTCGTGGGCCGCTGGTGGATCCTGGAGAACCGCATGCATGATTGCGACATCAACGACGACGAGTTTCTCCACCTGCCTGCGCACCTCCGTGTCGTCGGGCCCCACCAGCTGCACTCCGAGGCCAATGAGAGGCTATTCGATGAGAAGTACAAGCCGGTCGTGCTCACCGATGATCAAGTGGACCAGGCGCTGTGGGAGGAGCAGGTGTTGCAGAAGGAGAAAAAGGATAGACTAGCGCTGAGCGAGGCCGATTCACTGGTGCAGCCCGAGGTTTCCAGATGAAACCCCAAGGAGCTCCTGGGTCTCCAGGCTCAGGCATACTGTTGGCCACAGTTAGTGGAATGGGTGGAGATAAACGACCCTCTGTGCGATTTATTATTATATTTTTTTTTTTGGCGGGGGGGAGCCCCGTTCTGTCTGACCAGTTTGGCGAAGCTAACTGGGAGCCTTACTTGGAGATGGGAAGAGCTGAATGACTTCCCCCAAATGTGGGGAAGAGCTGGAGCATTTGGCTTTGTTATGCTTACCACCGCCACCGCCAGAACTAAAAGTAAGGAACCTGTACTGCGTGGCCCGTTGTAGCTGAGAATGTACTTCGAGGGTAGAGCACTTTCCTAGCATGCCTGGCCTTGGAGGAGGCATTGCTCAATGCATCATGCTGCGTTTCTGTGAAAACAGAACGCAAATGAGCGGTTTTAGTTGTGTTTATATGGTTTGCTTTTTGAGAATAGGACTCCCATATGCCCAGGCTGGCCCCGGCTCCATCTGCATCAGCTCCAGTGCACCACAGTGTGCCCTGCCCATGCATAAGTCATGTTCAAGAGGCTACGAAGATGACCCGATTGCCAGTTACTCTCCAGATCCTAAGACCGTTCACTTTGAGTGTGTGTGTGTGAATTTTTTGAGGAAGGTCTGGCTGCTAGTCTAGAATTCATGAGCAAAGATGATTTTTCCAGGAGCAGGAAGGATGGCTCAACATTTAAGAGTACTGACTGTTCTTCCGCTCCTAGAGAACCCTGATTGAAATCTCAGCAGCCGCATATCACAATCAGTCATCTGTGGCTCCAGGGAATCTCTTGCTCTTCTGGGTTCCTCTGGTACTAGGCAGGTACTTGCACAAACATCATACATGTGCACACGTTTTAAAAAAATGATCCTCCCAAATGACCTTCCAATATTGGGACTACAACCATGTGCCAACCTGCCTAACCTCAGAGGTTTCTTTTTCAATTGGAGCTCAGATGTATGTGTTTGGGGTTTTTTTGTTTGTTGTGTTTTTTGGTTGGTTGGTTGGTTTTGAGACAGGGTCTTACTATGTTACAGTGGTGTGCCTGGAACTGGCTATGAAGAACAGTCTGGCCTCAAACTCACAGAGATCTGTCTGCTTCTCAATTTTTTTCTTTTTCATTTTTCAGGAGAGGGTTTCTCTGTGTAGCGCTGATTATTCTGGAACTCTCTTTGTAGATCAAGCTGGCCTTGCCTCAGCCTCCTGAGTGCTGGGATTAAAGGCGTGCCTCACCACACCAGGCTGCCTCTCAAATTTTGAAATTTTTGGGGTTTGTTTTGGTTTGTTTCTAGAAGTGGTCTCACAGCCCAGACCAGCCTCAAACTCACTATGTAGCAAAGGATGGCTGAATGATCCCCTTTTTTGCACTTCCCAAATGGCCATGCATTGTTTCTGTTGTATGAATTGTTATTGGTAGGCTTTTGTTTAGTGGTAGGCATTAACTCCAGGATCTTGTACATATTAGGTAAGCACTGTACTTGGGGGTTTTTGTTTTCTTTTGTTTGGTAGTCTCCTTATGTAGTCTCTGTGGACCTTTGACCTATCTTGTGTTAGCTAGTAACATTTTGTATAACTATTAGTGCAGAGGATAGGTTCAGAGGCTAACAGATTTTTAGTGTATGTATGTATGGCAGCAATTGCAAGCAAGGTGGGAGGCTGGAACATGTTCTGTCCCAAAGCTTACATGCAGTCATATGTTATGATACTGCAGGGATCCTGGAAATAGTTCTGTGGAAAGGACCAGGGTCGGGCACACAGGTTGGATCAGGCAAGGTTCTGGTAATTACCTTTCAAACTAAAATATTAGGAGAACAAGACCACCTATGTCGGCTGGCCTGTGGCTGGTCACTAAGAGCAGGAGATCAGTCATCTTTGTCGTGGGTTTGTTTATGGTGCCAGGCTTCAGCAGACTGAGCTGCCCCCAGTCCTGGTGGTGGGTGTTTGTGTGTATGTTGCCTCTTTCATTATCAAATGTACTGAAAGTGTGACAGGTTTTTTTATTTGGCTGGTTTTTTGAGACAGGGTTTCTCTTTGGGGACCTTTCTGTCCTAGAAGTCAAGAGAGCCCCTATCTTTGCTCCCTGAGTGGTAGGATTAAAGGTGTGTGCCACCACCTCTGGCGTTTGTTAAATCCACATCTTCTGATCAGATGATGATGATGATGTCAATCCACATCTTGAGGACTGCTGAGGTGGCTCAGCAGCAGGTGAAGGCACATTCAGCCAAGCTGAACCGCCTTGGTTCATGCCCTGGAACTTACTTGGTAGAAAGAGAGAACTAAGTCCTCCAAGTTGTGACCTCCACGTACACAAAATAAGTTAAAATGTAATGAGATTTCTAAAAAATCCACATCTTCAAATTTTAAATGTTCTAATTAGTGTGTATTAATGATACATACATGAGATTCATTAAAGCATTTCCTTATGTGTACATAAAATATTTTTTATTACATTAGCCCTCCGTTTCTGACTCTTACAATCCACCCTCACTTATGTTCCTTCTCTTCCCAACTAGTGAAAGAGTGCACACGCACGTGTGTTTGTGTGTTTGTGTGTGTTTGGGTGTTTCAGATAAGGCCTCCTTCCTGGACTAGGCCTGTGTAGATCGGGCCCTAACCTAACCTAGGTATGGCTTCCCTAGAACTAGCACTTCTTCTTTTGTCTTGTGTGTGTGGTCCAGTGAGTTGAAACCTGATCACAGGCACACAGGAACCTAACCAGAGACTGAGGAAAATGTCTCTCCAGGAGCAGCTGTTTCTGACACATGAATCCCCATAGTGGGGAAGAGCCCTTCCATGAGAGGTGGCTGTGATGAGCCAGGCTTGTGGAGATCTTGTTCAGATGATTACAACTGCTGTGAGTTCAAGAGCACAACAGCTAGGAACTGTGAGATGGCTTAGTTCGAAAGGCTCTTTTATGGCCATAAAACTTGATGGCCTGAATTTGATCCTTAAGACCTACATGATGGAAGGAGGCTGTTTTCTGACTTCAGCACACATGCATGAAGTACAACAACCAAATCATGCTTGAAAGTTAAATATTTCACACCACTTCCTTTCCTGGACCTTTTCTGTTCTTTCTGCCCTTCCTTCTAGTGTTCTCTGAGCCTTGTATGTTACACACCTTAATTTTACAGAAAAAAAAAAAAA